GTATTGTTTGCAAGGGGGGAGTGTCAGTAGTGGACCTGGGCCTTGTTAATGAGGCTAGTTGCAGACGGGAAGAAACTGTTTTTGTGGCGAGAGGTTTTGGTCCTGATGGACCACAGCCTCCTGCCAGAGGGGAGAGTCTGAAACAGTTTGTGTCCGGGGTGGGAGGAGTCAGCTGCAATCTTTCCTGGTCGCCTCAGAGTCCTTGAGGCGTACAGGTCCAGAAGAGAAGGAAGAGTGCAGCCAATCACTTCTCTCCAGAGCGAATGATACGCTGCAGCCTGCCCTTGTCCCTGGCAGTGGCAGCAGCGTACCAGATGGTGATGGAGGAGGTGAGGATGGACTCAATGATGGCGGTGTAGAAATGCACCATCATTCTCTTTGACAGGCTGAACTTCTTCAGCTGCCGCAGGAAGTACATCCTCTGCTGGGCCTTCTTGGTGAGAGAGGTGATATTCAGCTCCCACATGAGGTCCTGGGAGATGATGGTGTCCAGGAAGCGGAAGGAGTCCACAGTGGTGACTGGGGAGTCACACAGGATGATGGGGGAGGGTGGGGCTGGGCTCTTTCTGAAGTCCACGACCATCTCCACTGTCTTCTGAGCATTGAGCTCCAGACTGTTCTGGCTGCACCAGGTCACCAGATGGTCCATCTCCCACCTGTGGGCGGACTCATCCGCACCTGAGATGAGCCCAATGAGGGTGGTGTTGTCCGCAAACTTTGGGAGCTTGACAGACTGGTGACTGGAGATGCAGCTGTTGGTGTACAGGGAGAAGAGAAGGGGGGAAAGAACGCAGCCTTGAGGGGAACCGGTGCTGATGGTCCTGGAATCAGAGACATGTTTTCCCACCTTCACGCGCTGCTTCCTGTCCGTCAGGAAGTCAGTGATCCACCTGCAGGTGGAGTCAGGCACGCTCAGCTATCAGATATCAAACCAGTGAGGATACAGCTATACGTGGACAAGATAAAAGAAGCCTAACCAGACTGTGTGACAAGTCAAGAGTCAGTACTCTCTGAGTTGTTCAGCAAAGCAAATTGTCAACTGCACCAGCAAACTGCAGCCAAGAAGCAGATCCATCTGCAACTTTAGACTTCCAGCCTGTGTTAAGTTACTCTTTAAGGTCAGAAGACAGGGTACTTAACTTCAATCAGGGGTTAAAACCTCTTAATCAATAATGTGAAGGTCAACTGATAAGCATAGGAAACACGCCTTTGGTTTGATAACAGATCAGATTGAAGCTACTCACTCCATGTATGCACTTTATATTGTCTCACTTTGTTTAACATTGTTGATTTACACAATTGAATTTGATTATTTGCTTGATTTTGATCCACACATTTGGTGAACTGCTTCAAAAAGTTTCCATAAAAACACCTTCTGTTAACCTCTAACAATCTATGCTGAACTATCTTCTCTGATCCTGAGCTCATACATCCGCCCCACTTTTCCTTAATAGCGATGCAGGCACAAGGAAACCTTTTGAAGGACACTTCCTGTCTGTCCCTGCCCATGTGAACTCATGACTCTCTGAGGCTTTTCCAGGGAAGATCCCGGCCACACCAGCAGCGATGTACTGCAGGGAGGAACATGGAGGGAGGACCCAGCATGCGGCTCAGTGTTCAGGAAGGGAGTTGTGCTGAGGACTCATTGTGCAGAACTACAAGGGGACAATGGAAGAAAGTTACAGAAAAGGACATGATGTGATTGACCTGCTCTCCTCCACCCTTACTGTATTATCAATTCTGATCAGACCTGTGTCATTTTACTCCCAACAATATCTAAAAGGGTAACATTAGTATTTAATGCAGGACATTCCTTCATTGTTGGTGTACTTTATTATTGTACAAATTTGCAAATGAATCAATTTAGAAGTCTGGGGTTCGAGGCAGTTGCCTACTTTGCCTAGTTAGTAATCCAGCCTTCAATGTGGGTGGTTTCCTTATCAAAAGTGTTGTTATTTTGTTGTTCTTTCTATTAATCTAATCATGTGAGCAGAACATGCATTAACCTATTCACCTACCTGTTCACCCATTATCCCACAATGTTGGCTTTTATCTGTTCTACAATCTCCTCTGGAGGGTTGAACTTTTAATGTATTAATTTCTCATTTGGTTTGTTGCTGTCCTCTGTGTGGAGCACAATATAATTTCTAATGTAAAAATCCCATTTCAGTGTTTTACTAACATAACATTTAGCCAACTGAGAAGTTATGGTTTCGGTTTGGCAAGTTCTACATGCGCATAGAAAAGAGAATGAGAGCCAACTCAGCCAACATAGCTACAGAATGAACCACCTAAGCCCTGTTTTTTCACTTTTAACAGTGTAGTTTGTTCATTTTTTGGTTTGAATCTTTTGACATTTATTAATTCATTTTTACAGCAAGAAGCCAATGTTAACATGTACGTGTATGCTTGACCTTAAGCACGCAGACCCAGTTTGATTGTTACAGTGAATTATGTAGTGAGAGTTTTGCTTTGCTTGCGTACTTTTGCTCATGCAAAGTGTGAACTGTTAAGCCACGGAAACTGAAACGCTGCTCCCACCCTTAGTTTCCCTTCTGTGGCACATTCTCACTACACCTCTGCTACTTTGTAAGTCCACCTGCTGGCAGTACGACCATGCTGACATAACTGATGCACGTAGCCATTGTTTCATACTCCAGGAATGACCTCAGTGTTACTGGAATGAGTAATGCACTTAAAAATACACATACAGTTGACATGACAGTGTTGAAGTAAAGCAGATTACTGCATATGCTATGCTTTTTACATATCATGGTTGGTGTGTTCAGTTCATCAGCATGTAATGGCCAAAGCTGACATGGTTTAATTACCTTTAGATATTGATTAGTTCAGTCTTCTGATCTGATCACATGTTACTGATACAAATGCTGTCTCTCTGCAGTAGAGGGACATAAAGATGACGCTCTCCTGCATTTCCTCAAAAATGATTCTCACTTCAAGGTTCTGGATGACAGTATCCTATAAAACCTCTCTTTCCTAAAATAGAAAATTAATAGTCTCACATGTTTTTCCCCCAAAAAAGCCCCAGGCATAAACAAATACTGACTCCACGGCATTGGTGGTTATAATTAATTTGTGGCCTGTTCCCATAAATTCCTCGTCACACACCCTCAGAGCCTCCACTGCAGCCTGGAACCAAAGAGCGTTGGTTTCATCTGTACAGAGATGAAACCCACTTGAGGAAGAAGCTGATTGGACACATGACGTCTTCCTTGCCATATCCATTTTTTTTTTCAAAATGTTCTGTCCCTGACAGATACGCTAAAAGTAAAGGGGGTCTTAGAAGTGAACGCCGTCAGTTTTGGGAATAATCCTGTGTGAAGTGCAGATATCCAGACAAGAACAGGAAGAGTCTCCATTTCCAGCTTCGGTAGAGCCAAAAGGGTGGAGCTCTCTCCATCCTACAATTTAATTATTTCCCTCGAATTGCTGAAACACTAGAGTTAATTCATCTGCTGATCACAGTATGCACAGTGTTCAGGAATAGGAAATGCGCAATATGATTAGGAACATTTGGAAAGCGTTTGTCTCCCAAAGGAACCAAAACATGTGCCGGCAAATATCTTGTGAGAGTCAAATTGAGGATATCTCATCTCAAACATGAAATGAATTTGGAATAGACACTTAAAGAACAGAAGATGAGAGAGTCAGCCTTTGCTTGGCTCAGCTGCTTTGATTCATTTTTTGACCCATAAATTTGAACTCAGTCTGACATCATTTTGCTGGCAATAAAATGTGTTTATTTTTCCCTACTTACAAGCCAGCAGAAAAAAAGCATTGCATGGATGGACTCCATATTTCACTGGAAGCGGGTTCCTACAAGGCAGCATGTGTCAGGGACATTAAAACATAACAACCAAAGAGTGGATGGACTGACCCCTGAGCCCTGGTCAGTGGACATGGACGTCTGATTACAGCTCTGAGGAGCACATATACTCTCTGTATGCATGCATGTGAGAACTACAGAGCTATGCTGATGTGTCAGTTGGCTAATATGTCTTTTTTAAAACCGTAATAATCAAGTGTATAATCAGGTGAAGATATGCTTTTACTTATTTTTACAGTAACCCTCTGCACAGAATCCTGCTTCAGTTAATCATGCTGTAGCACAGTTTGATATAACGAAAAACAGTATTTGTCAAGTACTTTGAACTATTTTGTCATTTGATGGGGCATGTTAATCATCCCCTTGCAAGTCAATAAATGTAGACAATATAATGTCCATCCATCCATCAATATTATGTCATGGTGAGATTTTGTAGTTTCAGCACTGTCAGTAGATGCCATAGACCAGAATGCAATGCAGCAGCAAGACATGCACTTTTTTGACAGTGGTAGAAGAAGTACAGGTCATGGATTTCATTTGATGCATTAATGTGAACATCCTTTTAATGATACAGCATGTAAAGATTGGACTAATTTCAGCTACTTCATACACTCCTAGATCTTAATTTCAAAACATCTTAACCTATCTTAACCTACAATACATCATCTCAATTGTTGATTATATTTTATATATCTGAATATGCAAACTATAGTAAGTTATTAAATAAATGGTGGAGTTAAAAAACACTGTATTTGCCTATAAGGTGTAGCGGAGTAGAACTAAAAAGCAGCAGAATATGGAAATACTCAGGTCAAAACTCTACTCAAGTTCTGCAGTAGTCTATTTCCCTTTCCCCATGGATAAGTGGCCAGATGTAGACAATCAAATGTAATGGTGAGATTTTTGCAGTTTCACTGCAGTGTAGAGTCAGTTTCTCTGGAAACAGCAGCCTACATAGACCAGAAGGCAATACAGAAATGAGACAATGAGTCTCACATTCTCTTCACTGGGAAAAACATCTTGCTGTTATCACACTTAAGACTACACCCCCACAGCAAGTGCATGCAACAAGTTCTACTCTCTGGTGGTGGTGATAGGGAAATCTGGACAGTGGGAGAGACCACAAACCTTGAAGGAGAGTGGGTACACCAAAAAAAAAAACAGATCAAAAGTGGAATCTCAAAGAACAAAAACTGCCATTTAGTACAAGCGGAGACACTCAGTGTGGAAGACTTTTCTTTCTGTCCCCCAAACAGGCTCATCCACAAAGAATGTCGTGCCCTGAACTTTTGTTGCACTCGTCAAGGAAATGACCCTGTGCTGCGTGGAACCGGATTCATCCAGTGTATCTCTTGCCGGCAGTTGTATGGCAGTGATGTTGTAAGCAAGTAATCTGCTTCATGACCCATGCTGTTATAATGAGGTAAATGTTGAGCCATTTCAGTCATCTGTTTTAGAGTCTGATTTATTTAGAATGAGACATGCTGATTATTCAATCTCTACTCAGCCCTCAAATATGTTTATTTGGCATGTAGTGAAATATCAGTTCCATGTAAGAGAGACCCTACGTAAATAATATCAACATGCTGCATTTATCTGGACTGTGTTTTGCAATCAGGGCTGAGCCAACTAAACTTTGAGGACTTCTCATGTGTTACCGAGGTGAGTCCACTACTAACAATATCAGGGTTCTTTTGAAAATATAACCCATTTGTGTTTGAGCCTGTCGAGTTTCAGAGGAATTTCTTAATCCTGTGAAAACCATCTGTAATAGTCCCACACACATTCCTGCTAATACAAACACACAAGTAATGTGACACACTTCCTTTCTCGAAATGGTTGAGAGAGTGAAGAAGGCGATGTGGCGAATGGCGAAGAACAGGAGAGGAGCTGGAGAAGAAGAAACACACACAGAAGAAGAGGGAGGACAAAGGAAACACAAGGGACATCTTTCCAACCAAAAACAAAGTGCTGCCATTTGGCTGTTGTTTGACCCTTGGTGGCTGGAAACATCCTAACACATCCATTGCAGCAGCATGTGGCTCACCAAACAGCTCTACTACATGTGATCAAATCTGATTGCAAAAAATGACTCATGTCATCAGAAAGTAAATCGCTCTTACGAATAGATGGGACAGGACACAAGTAATCACACAGAAGTCCTCTTTCGTGTGATGACTACAGCCCTGCGTGTGCTGCATCTTGCTTCTCCTGCAGGGTGAGGACTCCTTCAAAAGTGTGGTTTATTTTTAGGGAGCTTCACATCCGCTGCCACTGGCTAATAAGCAAGCTGAGCAGAGCTGCCTGAAACCAACCTGAAGTAAATTGAACATTGGTCAAAGCTCAACATGAGGTTGGATGAGAGGTTTGAGGAAGCTTGCAGGGATTGTCTAGAGGCAGTTCACAGCTTTCAAAGAATAAAAGGGAATTCATTTGGTGGAATTTGTTGTGTTGTGTTGTTGTTGTTGTGCAGTTGTACGTGCAGATTTAGCACAGGAGTATGGGGTATTTATGTGCATTTATGAGCATATATGTGTAAAACGCTGTCATGGGTGGTAAAATGTTGCAGCTGGGACTTAAAACACTATTTTGAAAGTCTATTATCAGATCAGAAATGCACATTTGCAGTGCCCTAATCAGAATTGCTTCCTCAGATAAATTCTCAGAAAAAAATCCATCAGATGTCATGGTTTGCTGAATGACTCATTGCAACGCCAGTTATCTACAGGATCTTATCACAGCAGTACATAGACATTGATCATATGGGAACTACATAGCAGCAGCCCAAATGCTGAAGCCTCAGCTGGGTGCAGCCATCTGCTTTATGCACTCAGATGAAATGATACCAAAAAAAAAGGATGGAATATCTTGATAATGCTCTCATTCTTTAGCTTTCACTCCATTAAGAATGTTGACTCACTCCATATGATGGCAGACATCCTGTGGACTCTGTTATGCTACCATTACAGAGCACATTCTGGCATTTAAGAGTTGATTGCCTGCAGACTGCCAATCTGACTCCTATGCAAATGAGAGACCATGACATGGGTCATTAAATCTTGGTGATTATTTAGAGAACTAATGGTTGAACATAATGATCCACTGAAATGACTCTCTGAACTGCAGTTTGAAGGAAGATGCGTGTGGACTGATGGCGACAAGGAAGCAGGAGGAGAGATGAGAGTGACAGTGCACAACAAAGCCTCACCAACAAAGTTCTCTTTAGTAGCAGTTCTGGCTTGTTAAAGCCTCTATCCTCCCACCTCTGCTGTTGAGCTCTTGTACCAATCCTTCTTTCAAAGCCAGTTGTTACAGCACGATAAGACGAAACACTCCCAGTGACAGACCTCCTACATTTCTCTTCAAATTGGGGTGTTCAGGGCATAACAATTCGTAGTGCTCAAGTCTAGTAAAGCAAAACCACATGTAAAAGAAGACTAAAATAATTGACATTAGTGGAAATAGGCTTTTTCACTTTCTTGCCAAGCGTTAGATGACATGATTGATACCACTCTCATGTTTGTATGCTAAATATGAAGATATAAGCAGTAACCCTTTTGCTTAGCTTAGCATAAAGACTTGAAACAGCTAGCCTGGTTCTGTCCAAAGGTAACAAATTCAGCTTATCAGCACCATGATCAGCACCTGTAAAGTCACTAATTTCACATGTTATATCTTAATATTACGTGTAAAAAAAAACTGAGCCAGGTTTCCATCTTTATGCTAAGCTACTATAATCAACTACTAGCTCTTCTTTACTCAGATATGACAGTTGTGTTTAGCTTCTCATCTGACTCTTGGCAAGAAAGTGAATAAGAGCATTTCCCAAAATATTGAACTGTTCCTTTAAATTTGAAATAATTTAAAGGTGGGGTATGTGATTCTAATCCAATACACGTCTGTCTCTTTGTAAAATTCAGCAAATATCTCCTCATGGTCCGCTAGCTGTACGTTCTGTGTGTGCGCTGAAAATAAATCTGTTATTTGTGCCCAGCCCTGGCTCTGTAAATGGAAAACAAACTAAGTGGCTCAGACCAAGCCACATAACACTATTCCAGCCTTGACTTGTGTGTAAGGTAACCTTAAGTTATCTGCCCTGTGAGATTTGGCTTAGGCCTACACTGTAGTTCGCCAAGATATGCTGTTGTTGTGGTGTTAGTAGCAGGAGTGTTGTGAGTGTCGCTGTCAGAAGCAGGTATTCTGGCTCTGGGATCGTCTTGTCCTCTCTGCATGTTTGCATCGCAGCAGCAACTTTAGCCTCAGTTTGCTAACCCACAACTCAGCTAATGTTAGCCATACCTGCTGTGTTCACTCAATATCATACTATTTGTCATGGTACTGGATTTCTCCGGAATCGCATACCCCACTTTTACTTTGCATATTTTGGTTACATTGCGTTGAAATACAGCCTGGAAACTGCACTAGTCAAAATGTGATAATATCTTGCAGTGATGTGTTGTGCAGTAGGCTCATAAATGCTGCTAATTTGAACGCAACCATTGAATGCAGTCTGATACGACAAACATTTTTGAAAAGCCCAGTGTCTGAGAAACTCATTCAAGGCATACTAAATTCTAAAATGTGTCTTTTTTTCTGGAGCTGTGTGAATACTGCCTTCGAGCAGATTTTCCCTTTAATGTCTTTTCTCAGTTTGACATCCTAATGTCCCACAGTGTGTCTCCATGGTGTTTTACAGCCTCCCTGATGTGCAGCGACAGGCCTGTTTATCCTTCATTAATCTCTCTCCTCTGCTTTTACCCCCCCACTTAATGGTGACGTTTATCCTATTAATGTGTTGTTGGCTGGAAAAATCCCCCAATAACATAATCTAGAGTTAAGGTTACTAATGGTGGTGTCTCCACTGTGTGTGTATGTGTGTGTGTGTGTGTGTGTGTGTGCAGAGTTGATGCTGTACTGGTTGCTATGGACCCCAGACTGTAGTTTTACAGTAAAACTATGCTGCCCTCTCCTGTTCACATGCAAAACTGGAGAGTGATTATATTTGCAGTATTACATGTGCAAGGAAGTATTCAGATCTTCACTTAAGTAAAAGTAGCATACCACAGTGTGCAATTATTCCATTAAAAGTAAAAGTCCTGTGTTCAAAAATGTACCCACGTTAAAGTACAAGCAAAATATACATACGGCTCTTATGAGAGATTATAAAATTGGATTTTTAAAACTCATATAAAATATTTAAAGATTAGCACCACCTCAAACAACTACAACAGTAAATTTACATGCATGTGTGACAATATGATAGTGTAACTGTCACACTCAATTAATAACATTTAATAATAATAATAATAATAAGCTTTATTTATATAGCACTTATAAAACAAGTACAAAGTGCTTCACAACAAATCACACATAAAATACAAAAACAAATAACCACGTGGGTAAAAGATACAGGGGGATAAAATACAGAATATAAGAACAAGGATCACAATAAAGTATAACAAATATGTTCAGTAGGAGGTAAGAAAGATAAGACAAGCAAACAAAGTGATAAGAACGGTAGTGCAGGAATAGTAAAACGAGTGGCAGCTCAGATAAAATCTGGATATGCTTTCCGGTAAAAGTCTGTTTTTAGAAGAGATTTGAAAGAGGAAGCCGACCCTGCCAGCCTAATTTCCTCAGGCAAGTCATTCCAGAGCCTGGGGGCCCTGACAGCAAACGCTCGGTCACCTTTTGTTCTTAGTCTGGCTCCAGGAACAGACAGGAGGCCCTTGCCAGAAGATCTTAGGCCACGGGAGGGCTCATACGGAGTTAAAATGTCTAAAATATATCAGGAGCCAAGCCGTGAATAGCCTTAAAAGTAATGAGTAAAATCTTAAAATCAATCCTAAAACAAACAGGGAGCCAGTGCAATGATGCTAAAACGGGTGATATGATCATATTTTCTTGTCCTAGTTAGGAGCCGAGCAGCTGAGTTCTGTACGGTCTGTAATCTATTTAGGGTTTTCTGATTAAGGCAAGTGAAGAGGCTGTTGCAATAATCAATGCGTGAGGAGATAAAAGCATGTATAACAGTTTCTGCATCTGTAACATTTAAAATAGGCCTTATTTTTGTGATATTTCTAAGGTGGTAAAAGCTGGACTGGACCAGTTTAGAAACATGATGCTCAAAGCATAACTTATTATCGAATAGCACGCCAAGATTTCTTGCAACAGGCTTCACGTGTTGTAGCAGGTAGCCAGAAGAGAGCAGACATGTTGGGGACCTATAACCAGGATTTCTGTTTTATTGGAGTTCAGTTTTAGGAAATTATTCGACATCCAATGTTTTATGTCGTTAAGACAGTCCTGTAATGAACTCAGCATACTAAGGTCGGTGGGCTGTACAGGTAGGTATAACTGTGTATCATCCGCATAACAATGGAAGGAGATACCATGTCTGCGTATGATATCACCCAGAGGGAGCATATATATAGAAAACAAAATAGGTCCAAGGATTGACCCCTGAGGCACACCGTAGTTGGTGCTAGAGAAAGAAGATTTAAAATTATTTATTGAGACACAAAACTTCCTGTTGTATGTAAGTATGAGGCAAACCAGTTCAGAGCAGTACCAGATACCCCCACCCAGTGCCTCAGTCTGTTTAACAGGACGCCATGATCAATGGTGTCAAAGGCCGCACTTAAATCCAGCAGAACCAGTATTGAACATTTGCCCGCATCAGCGTTCATTAGGAGATCATTAGTAACTTTCAAGAGTGCTGTCTCAGTACTGTGATGTTTACGTAAGCCAGACTGGAACTTTTCAAAGATACAATTATTTTCCATTACAGCAAGGAGCTGCTTAGAAACTATCTTTTCAAGGGTTTTTGAAAGAAAAGGCAGTTTAGAGATTGGGAGGTAGTTATCAAGGATGTTGGGGTCAAGGCTAGTTTTCTTTAAAACAGGTTGTACACATGCCGTCTTGACGTAGACCGGGACACAGCCAGTAGATAATAAGCTGTTAAAAATTAAAAGCAGGTGTGGGCTAATATAATCCAAAACTTCTATTAAAAACTTTGCAGGAATCAGATCAAGAGAGCAAGAGGAAGGCTTCATCTTCAACATAATTTCCATAAGTTCTGCCATGGAAATAGAAGAAAAGAAACTCCAAGGATCCTGGGTAGGGTGCATAACATCTAAAAAGGCAGGGTTTGGGCTAATACTGGCTCTTAATAATTCCACCTTACTGACAAAGTGTGTTAAAAATATCTCACAATCTGCATCACAATCAGCAGAGGCACAGGGAGAGGCAGGGTTCACCAACAGATCGAGAGTCTTAAAAAGAAAACTAGGATTGTGCTGGTGGACAGCAATAAGATTTGAGAAATGGTGAGCTCTTGCATCTTTTACCAACCTATTGTACGAAGATAGTAACTCTTTCATGGCCGTGAAATGGACCTGGAGGTGTTTTTCTGCATTCCTGCATTTGCAGCTTCTGATATC